CGGGCCTGAGGCGGCAGCGGAGGGCGCGGCACTGCCCAGGGGGGGCCCCGCCGCGGGGGCCGCCACCCGCCCCGCCGGGGATGTTGCGGTGGGTCCGGCAGCAGCTGGTAAGTGCCCGCCGCGGGGAGCGGCGCCGCCAACCAAGGGGGCTTCCCCTGCGCCCCTCGGCCCGGCCCGGCCGGGAACAACCCTCCGGGGCGGCCCCGTCCCGCTGCCTCTGCCCGAGGGGCCGGGGTGTGCGGGAGGAGAGGCCCCCGCGGCCGGCAGCGGGGAGGTGCGGGGCCGGGGGGGAGCTGCAGCCTGCGCTTGGGCCGCTGCTTTCTTTTTTAATTTTCTTTTTAAATATTTGGAGGGTTTTGGGGTTTTTTTTATTGGTGGTTTTGTTTTGCTGTTGTATTTTATTTTTTTTTCCCCTTGGAATCGCGCTGGCAGAGGGGGAGGCCCCTTCCCTTCCCTTCCCTGTGCCCCCCCTTCGGGAAGGGCTCCCCAAACTTCCTTCCAGGCGGGAATGACGGTGCCTTTTCCCGTGGAGCGACACTCGAGGGATTTGCTGCTTCTCTTCCTCCTTCACCTTGCGAAACCTCCCCGGGCTTTTCCCCCTGCCCTGCGCCCGTCTCACCGCCTCCATCGCCCCGTGCCCCGCAGCTTTGCAGCCCTCGCCCCTGCCCGCACCTCCGGGCTTTCGAAGTGATGAGAAATGGAAGAAAAAAACATCCGTAAGAGCCTGTCAGGGGGTGAAACCACTTGAAAAAGGCAGTGGAGAGAGGGTGCCTGGCTCTGAACAGGCGCTGCCTCCTGTGCGTGTGTCAGAGCGTGCGAGGGAGATGAGGCTGTGAGGGCTGCGGTGCTGGAGCAGGGAGGTACATGGAGTTTGGCTGGGCTGACACGTTCTGATGGGATTGAAGGGCTTTTGTGCCCCCCTCCAGCATTAGTTCTCTTGCGTTTTCTCAAGGGGAGAAGTTAGTTCTAAATGCTGCATTTACAAACTTAGTTTTTCCATCCATTGGAGTTGCCTTGTGTCACAGGTGTTGCCCAGGTTAGTACAAGAACTCACATTACTTAGATTTTTATATTTTCATGGTGAAAGCTTGTGTCTCACTAATGGTTTGTTTAACTTGTAACATCAAGTTTTACATGAAAAAAAAGATAAATTCTTTTTTGGGTTGGTTTTTTTCACTTTTCTTCCCCTGCCTTCTTTCCCGTGGCTATGGATTTCCCCAGATCCGTGTGTGAAGCACGGGGGTTGTGGTGATGCTCAGTGTGCCAGCGCTCCCTCCTTCCGTGTGACACCAGGAGTTAATGACCTAGGAGTTAATTGCTCTGCCTGAGCTCGGACTGCACTCTCCCCTGGACTGCACTCTCCCCTTCCGTTACAGTCATTTCCCAGTTTTTTAGAATTAAGGGCTGTTTGACGTATCGTAGCTGTCGGTTCCCCCCGCCCCGAAGGTGGCTTGAGGTTTGTGTGTGGTTTTTAGAGCAGCGTTGTGTAGAGTTTGGGGTTGCGTCGGTGCTGGGGGTTCACATACCAAACATGAGTGTGTTCTCTCTGCAGCTGCACCCAGCAGCTTTCCCCAGATGTGTTTGCCCTGAATAGAAAGTAGAAACTCGGTTTTAAGGCGAGGAGGAAGAAGCCCAGCAGTAAGAGGGTTTTGTTCTTCTAAAGGAAACTGCTTAAAACTCACGCTAGTTTTGACAAAGAATTAGTGTAGTAGAAGAAGGGGATAATAAAAAGTCAAGATGCTTGAGCAGATGTTTAAATATGGGACTAAGGAAAAAAAAATATTTAAAGGATACATGTTTTGTGTTTACTTTTCTCTAAACCTCCCTGTTTTGGCGTTAATGGGTTGGTGGTTTCACAGCTCATAAAGGTGAAAAATGGCCTAAGATAGATATCACACTGCCTGTGTCTTCTGAGGGACACTCGGGCAACTCATCCCTCTCTGTAATTGTTGGTTTAACATAGAACCCACCATACTTTTGCTTCTCTGTTTGTCCACGATGTTTAGTTTCTGAAAGGATGTCAAAGGGCTGAGAACCTGGGGAAAGGTGCTGAGAAAAGAATCTGAGCGAGTGGGAAGAGTGGGGTGACAGAAATCGGGCTGCTTTTGCTGTGGAGTGTAAGGAGTACTCTGACTATTGAAATCAAAGGGTGGCAAAGTCTGTGTCTGGTGTATTTCTGGTGGGAGAAGAGAAGAATGTGTGGGCTTGGGTGCCTTGAGAGCGTGTATTTGTACCTGGGCTTGATGCGGCAACAGGTTTTGAAAAAGATGTTCTCTTCCCCAGGAGAGGGCTGGAACCAGGCAGGTACGTGGGAGTGATTTCAGTGGGATGATGTGGTAGGACAAAAGAAAAATGTTGGTGTGCAGAAATGTTGGAAAGTAGTAAGGGATTGGGGAAAGGGGGAGGGACTGGGGCTTTGCTGGAGGTGCTTTTGGGTGGTTATTAAAGTGCTCTGTATGAAATCAACCGATGTTTTGCAATTGCTTGTGTAAGAGGACAGCATTTCATAGACTAATTAACCAGACTGCCCTGAGTGTATGTGATCTGGAGAACTTATGTTATAAAAGTGGTGGGGAGAGTGAAGGAGGTGGTCTTAGAAGGAAGTGATGAGAGGACCTGGTATGGAATTCACGTTATTTCAGCTAAAGTCTTGAAGTGGTGCCTTTGCTGTGCTTTAGTCTGTGAAAATCTCTGTGTGCCTGTACAGTATTGCTACATAAAGGGGGGACTAGTCTTCTGAGAACAGGAGGACATCCTGAGAATGTAAGACTTTCTTCAGCTTTATTATGGCTTTACAAGTCCCAGGCATTTTTCTAGCTGAGGTGCTGTTTGTTTTTCTGGTGGTTTGCTGTGTAGACAGTAATGCTGTTGTTCCATCTTCAGTGCTCATGTGGGGTCCCTCAGAAATGAGCAGTTTGGTTTGGTGCCTTGGCTTTCGGTGTGCTTTGTTTGCTCGGGAGCTGTTAACACTGCCCTACACAGAGACTTGGTTGGTTTTTCTTCACCTCGTGCTGTCCCGTGCTAAATAAACCGTGTAGTAAGTCATTAACAGCATGCAGCTTTCTAGTTAATATTATTATAATATCATTATCAAGGTAGTGGTTGGAAGCACTTAAGGTGTAGTAGTAACACATGTAGAGACAAACAGAGTACGGTTCATTGCTTGGAGTGAAATGCCCAGATGTTTCTCAAAGAGAAGTTTTGAGCAGGGAAGATGCTTGAGCTCTGTTACCTTGGGGTCTCGGGCAGGCGGCAGGGCTGGGGGTTTGCTGAGGGGTGTGTGACACACTCCCCTTGAAGACAAGCAGGCAGGTGAGCAGCAGGGGATGGGAAGCATCACTAATATTCAGGAATGGAACGGTACCTTTTATCCGTGTTTCCAGATGTGAAGAGTGAGACCCCGTGGCCCAGCTGTGGACAGCAGAGCGCTGTTGTGGCTCTCCTGTGGCAGGATGTGTGACAGCACTGATGTCCTGGTGGTACACATAGAATCATAGAGTGATAGAATTGTCTAGGTTGGAAGGGACCTTAAAGATCATCCAGTCCCACCATCGACAGGGAGCACGGGAGCTGCTGCAGTGGCATTAACAGAAAATAATGACAACCCCAGTTGTCTGGCAAGGAGGTCCCCAAAGCTTGTGGTAAAATACCCTCATCTGTATGATCTTAGCTGCCTAATTTTGAACTGTTAGCCCTGTCAAATGAAGGGGGGGTCTCTGGGTTTCCCTTCTGCTTCCTGTTAGGTGGAGTCTGAGCCTGTTATCTCTTGTACAATAGTCCCGTGATGCACAAGAGATGCTGTATGGAGAGAACCCAAGGGCCACCTGCCTGGTCCCTCTTTTATAAGTGACAGCTCAAGAGAAGCAGAATTGTGCTGTATCCAGCAGAGTATCTTCCTACAGCTTAAGAACCTGAGTGCTGTCGTGCACTGACAACAACTTTTACACTCTGCAGAGCGAGGTATTTGGGCAGCTGCAGCTTTGATGTTTTGCTGGAAGTCAAAGACGGAACGTATAGATTAATTCCTTTGGATTGGTGTCTTTTAACTAGTAAACCTACTTACCAGACTGTTGTATTTCATGGTTATAGGAGGGTTCAGTCTGGAAAGGACATCAGGAGTACATCTAGCCCTTAAGTTCTGCATGGCCTGTGCTGAGAGGGGGTCACAGGGAGTGTCTGACTGTGCTGCAGTGGTTGTACCTGTCACCCTCCACGTTCCCCCCACCCCCAGACAATGTCTGTGGGAGCATTCCTGTTCATCGTTTGGGTGCATTCTAGTGAAAAGTTTCTTCTACTAATATGGGAAATGTCTTTGAATAGATTAGCACTTAGGGGGCTGTATTTTTGGGGTTTTCTGCCCTTTCCTTCCAGGTGTTGGTATCTGTAAAGCTCTTCTGCGAGGGGCGGATGGTGTTCTGTGACAACTTGTGGTTATTGGCATTCTGAACAGGGTCCACAGCATTTCATCTTCTTGTTTGCGCGGAGGTGTGTATTATTTTCACTAAATCATTTTATAGAATTGAACCAGTGCAGTTTGTCTTTTTTATCCTTGAAAAACCCCCTGTATTTTTTGAACGCTGGAAGTATTTGAACCAATCCAATGACTGAGAATCCGAGCTTCTGAAATCAAGTTGCTTTTCTGGAGCACAATCTTCCCCCTTGTTTCTTACTTATCATTGAAGCCTATTCCCCCTTTTGGCTAAAATTAAGAGGGTTGTTGTTACAGTATACCAGAGAAATAAATGAGTATTTGCTCTGGTTCTGGGTGCCCAGCCAATCCCTCCCGCACCGGCACTGTGGGATCGGGGCGATGTGTGTTGAACAGCCCAAAGGCTGCCCTGCTTTGCCTCTTGTAACTTCACACAGGATAAAACGTGGCCTTATTTATTTGCTAGATACCCTGTGATCTGCTGAACTAGTCCTCCCCTTGTGTTTGGGTCTTTTAACCTTATTTTCTTTTTATATTTTGCGGCTGCTGAAGGCTCCTGCGTTTGCAGCACAGCGTGTTCCAGAGCCCGCAGAGCCTGGCCCTGCCTCCAGCCAGCTGTCTCTGCCCGGCCTGTCCTGTGACTAATTTTTAAATCTTATCACATAAAAATTAAACCCT